CGCATCCAAATCAACATGTTTTTGAGCTAGCTGTTGACGTAATGAACGAATTTGTATTTTTTGATGATCTATAATTTCTTTTAAGCGTATCATAAGTTGTATTTCCTCGATATTTGTAGAATCTAGTAAGTAAATAAAATAGATATATTATAAAATGCAACCAAATAGAAGAGAATAATAAGATTACTTTTTGTAAGTCAGTTTAATTGCAGATGTGCAATGCAGAACCTGAAATATATAAGCATCAGTTCAAACTGGCAAGTAACACTAGCAGCACATGGCGAGAATGTTATCAGACAAAATTCCAGAGTAGTAGAAAGAATAGCAGCATCAGTGGTGGTAGAAACGATTAACTATTGGAATAATAGGACTCTGGATAAACAAAAGAACGAATGCCACTTGCGCCATTGCAAATGATTCTAAGCCACGTAAACAAAAGTCGCTAACTGTTTCTAAGTTTAGGCAGTATAGTAAAAGTTTACTAAACTAGAATATGATCAATAACAGGAGTTTTTTGTTGATTGCTTAGTTTGAAGTTAGCAGATATCAGTTAGACAACTGTGGAAAATTAGTCAGTTAATCCATGCAAAATGTTGCTTCAAAGATTTGGTTCATCGGCACCTGAACTAGTGATAGGGAGTGAAGTAGTCGAACGTGTAGACCGCCTTCACTTAACTGAGGAGTCTCATCAGTGCCGATGGCCTGGTGACTGACGAAATCTAAGCACGGATACAGAAGGCTCGATTGGCTTTTGCCAACCTGCGTCACTTATGGCGCAGGCGAGATATCCGTTTGCTGACTAAAGGACGAGTGTACTGCACAGTAGTTCTCTCCGTCTTACTTTATGGCTGTGAAATATGGCCAGTGAGAGTAGAAGATATTCGTAGGTTACTGGTTTTCGATCATAGGTGTCTTCGAAGCATTGCTCGTATATCCTGGGACAACCGTGTGAGCGATGCTATAGTTAGGAAACGATTACTAGGTAGAAATGGCAGATCAATAGATGAAGTAATGAAACTTCATCAGTTGATGTGCTGGGGACATGTGTTATGTATGCCTAACCACCGACTGCCTCGAAGAGCTTTGTTTTGCAGTGTAGGGAGTAGGTTGGAGAAAGTTAGGGGCGGCCAAACCAAAACATGGCAGGAATCCATGAAGTCATTGACGAGTGGACTTAAGCCATGTCGGTAATTGTCGACTACCTGGTTGGGGTCCGCGAGATGATAATAGTCGATGGTTAGATACCTTGAATGACATGGCTTAAAGCCGTTTGCAGTGGCGCCGGTGCATTTATTCTTTGTGTTCTTTCAAATCCTGATCGTCTGGATTATTCAACACCTCTAGTTTTGTCTTTCTAAACTTTTCTCATTTAATCATACTTCTTGAATAGTATCTTCTCATCCTTACCTCTCCGATTACTTCTAATCCCTTACTACCTCTTCTACTATGGGATTTGAATTGACGATTACTTCTCTGTGCTGATGTGGTATGGCGACATGAACTGATGTAATTACGTACGAAAGTTCTACGTTGCAACTGACTGACTGACCTTGACCGAGGCTTAATAGTGAATACTAACAACAGCATATGGAACTAAACCGAGGATACTAAAGTTTTACAGCAAAAGATCATGTGTACTTACTATCGAGATATCTAATAATTGGGTGAAATACGTTTTATACAACCTGATTTTTAATTATTTTCTACATAAATTTAATCAGTGATTAGAAGTATGTTCAAATATCCAAATTATTTGACGAACAACGTTTGGAAGAACGATTTAGGTAACATATACGACTTATTGCTATTTTATTTCACTGGAAAGTTCAAACAATTCGTAAATGTTACTGACAATTAAACAGGCCTTCACTGAGTACATTAAGATATTCAACACTTGATTGAAGTGTCATCATATCTTTTTTCCTACAAAGTCTATGGTTGTAGGTATATTAAGTCGAGCAGATATATGTCAAAAACCAAGACTGAAATAAGTGGATCCGATATTTGTCTTAAATATCAACTTCTTATTGGGTTTATAAATTCACAAGCATTCTAAAAAATGTAAGAGGTTATGTTTACATGACAAGTGTTTTGTGCTTTTAGAAATTTTAAAATGTTATGAAGTTTCATTCGTGGTTAATAATAAGATTAATCAATAGCAGTGTAGAACTTCGTACGTACATCAGTTCATGTTGCCAAACCACATTAGCATAGAGACGCAATGTCAATTCAAATCCCATAGTAGTAGAGGTTAGCAGTAATCTGAGAGATTAGGGTTAGAAGATATTATTCAAGAAGTGGAATCTAGAAGTTTACGATTTGAGAGAACACAAAGAATGAATGCACCTACGCCATCGCGAACGGTTTTGAGCGATGTCATTCAGAGTCTCTATAACCATCAATGACTTTCATCTCGCTGACCCTAACCAGGTAGCCTACATCTACCAACATGACTTAGTCCACTTGTCAGTGACTTCATGGATTTGTGCCATGTGTTGGTCTGACCACCCTTAGCTTTCTTCCAACCTATTTCTACACCATAAAATATAGTTCAACTAGGCAGTCAATGGTTAGGCATACGTAACACATATACCAACCACCTCAACTGATGAAGTGGTTAATTAATAAGACAGAACAAAAATCAATATATACACACGGTATATATTAATGGGTTGTTTTTTTGAGAAAAGGCAAATTCTAAAATCTAAGAGCTTACTTGTAAAATTAGTTGGAATCGTTGATTGATTATTCGATGCTTCACTATCTTCAATGGCATTTTTAAGTTGTTTATTTTCTTCTTTTAATTTTTCAATTAATTGAGAAAGTTCTTGCACTTCAGAATGCCATATCTCTTCAATTTGTTCCAATTCCTTAAAACAGAAATATGATAAGAAAAGTTATATATATATATATATATTGAATAACGAATGAGGAATGATATAACGACACTTCAGTGATATTTAGAAATGTGCATACAATGGAAAATAGTTTCGCGGTGCTACAATATAAATAACGGTGTGGTGCGAGCTACTTATAAGTAGTATATGACGTGAGTGTCAACGTAATGTCTGGCAGCAGAACATGGGGGAATATCAAGAAAGGAAGAGTTGGAACACAATGGAATTTGTATGAAACACATGAATAGTGACAATGGATTGATGTTTTGCAACAGGAACAGTCCAGTTCGATATGATGGATTGATACTTTGCAAATTAACGATTTACGATATGGTTTCCAATTTTACTGAGTAACTCTGTAATTTTCGTTAAATACAATTCGGTTGCCACACCTGTGTTCTCGTTCACTACAACAGTAATTCGAATAAATTACCTGATACGATACACGACTTCGGAATACAGGCAACAGCATTATAGTTTGTTTATCAAAGTAACTATTATTTTAAAGTAATCAAAGGATGTTTACAGTTTAAACAATGGCATAAATGTGGCGCAAATCTTAACTATAAGAATAAAGGCTCATTTGTATTAACTCTATCAGAAAATTATAGTCCCATTAAATAACCAATAAGTGTTATTAGTTTACTTTAATTAATAACATTCAGTATTATTGACTTGTCGATAGTTTCGAACATCGTCTCTCTAAAGTTCATTACTCACTCTCCTTATGAAACAGGTAAATGTGAGCTAGTTATAATCATAGAAATATACATCCTAGTTAATATATTGATGATGTTGTATCATGGATATATTGGAAAAAAATTCATTGTCACTGTTATAAGCTACTGTTTACTAAGTAGTTTGAAATATATTAACGTGATAGTGGATGAAATAAGTGAACACATTTAGTGGAAATCCACAATCACATTTCAACAATATGCTCATAATATTCTTTATATACCTACTCCTTATTAGAGATTAATGATCATATTTCAATAATTCTAATTGTTAGTGTTCTAGTAGAGAGAGCTTGTACGAGATTACTGTACTTCTTTGGCACATTTTTTTAATTACAGGCGCTCTCAGGGAATTTCACTGTCAACAGCAAAACGCCGCCTTAAGGTCAAAAGAATGTAATTATTGTCGGAAGTCAGAAAGTATGTTGATGTTCTAGGACCTGATGAGATACGAATATTTGGTCGATACATTTACATTCAGGTCTGAAACCGGTTTGGATTTCTCGAATGTGCTCTTCACGAGTACTAGTTAGGCGTCGAAGTATTATCAAGGCTAAGATTTTAGAAAGTACATTAATTAGACTTATTTGTCTTTGATTATCACAAGCGGATTTTCGTTCGTTCTTATTGGGTGGGACAATCACCGATTGAGACCAGTCAAATAGGATTACATCCAGTTGCCAGGTTCTGGCTAAGATCTCAGTCAATCTAACTGCTAAAACTGGACTGCCGTCCTTAAAACTCTCAGGGGTTGATCCACCAGATTCTAATGCTTTTCTTTGTTGTAGATTGCCTAAAGCCGTTTTAATCTTGTTAATAGTAAGAGGGCTTATATCAATTTGCCATTTAGATTATTCAGAGATAGTGGATAGCTGAGGTGTGGCTGAAAGCCAGTGAACTGATTCCTACCTGACCACTGCTGCTACGTTGATTTAGTAGTCGTGTTTGCCTACCATGGTGACTCAACTGAGCTATATTAGCTAGAACATTTGTTTCTTAAGTTCTACATTGCAGGCAGGCCGACTGAAGAACGGTAAAACATAAAGCAGCAACTCAAGGTCTGAGGGCGAAATCGTACTGCTGACTGCAGTAGGATTTACAACAGATGCTCAAGGCTTATCAACACTAAATGAAAGCAGAACATAAGCCGAAACAATTGCTTAAAAGCTAACGGTGATAGACACTTGGCGTTGAGCAGACAAGTAGCCTATATTTTGGTAAGCAGTATGTCAAAGCTCCTTTTCCATAATCGTTACCTAATTAACATCACATGAAGTGTACCGCAATGTACAGTAATATGTACGAATTATAAAACAATAGCAATATGAGAATGTGAAATTCCTTTTTATTCAAATCGCTTTTAAGTGTCCAGTTGTTGACACTAAAAAATCAAAAAAAAAAGTGTAATCCTACCTTTTTATGCCTGTTTTGATCTTCTTTACGTTCTAATTTCTCAAGTTCTAATCGATGTACAGCTGTTTGGAGGGTAACAATCTCTCTTCCTTCCGACTCAAACTTTGTTGCGAAATCTTCCAACTCTTCAAGGACACTGATTACTTTAGGCATTAGGTTGGATACTGAGTACGGTCCATATTTACCGATGATAGTCTCAAATTCTTTACCGATTGAGGCAGCTATGTCGTAAACATCGAGGACAGAAATAGTTGGTGTGAATGGTCGATCACTCGGTGCTTCGGAGGGAAAAGTAAGAAGGGTTTTATTTACACCCTCCAGGCTGAAGCGACGAGTAAGCCTGGGGGAGTTATCGGGATGAGACAACAGTTTGTATAACCTAAGTGTAACAGAAAAAAGTGAGGAACTATTTATATGATTTGAATATCGGTATTTAGTTTGGTTTGGCTGCCCCTACCTTTCTTCCAACCTATTTCTACACCACAAAACATAGATCGTCGAGGCAGTCGGTGGCTAGGCATACGCAACACATTTCTCAACTACCTCAACTGATGGAGTTTCAATACTTCGCCAAAGGATCTGCCATCCTTAACTATTACTCGTTTCCTAACGACAGCATTGCTTACTCGGCTGTCACAGGATATACGCGCAATGCTTTGAAGACATCTATAAACGAATAATCTATTGGGGCCCGCTGCTTTCCCTCGCTTCAGATTTCCTATAGCTTTCTCAACTTCATGAAGATTCGGAGGACTTATATTGAATGGAACTAACACTTTAAAGATTTCTCATAAAAAGGCCGGGCGCGACTGGTCTCAAGCAGTTGTCCCTTGCGCTATGCGGTCACGCTCCCAGGTCGTTCAGACCAACACTAATCTACCTTCCTTTTCAGGTTCCTCAAGAAACACCGTTTCGTGGTGTGGGCGGCCGGGAAGTGACATCCGCCCTCATACCCGTGACAGCACACGAGATCAAATTGGTGACAAACAAATCTGCTATAACATTGTATTTATGTGGACTGATGAAACAGGCGTTCAACCTTTTTGGAAAGGTTCACAGGATAGTCTACTAGAATGACACTTCCAGTTAACAAATCGCAGTCATTCCCCAAATTTACTATAGATCCGTTTGAGCAAAGGCAGAATAATACACACTTTCCTGCAAGTGCAGAATTTATTATCAAACTACAAAAAGTAAAACGAGGGGATAAAAGATAGATAGATAGATAGATAAAAAACAACTAAGGTTTCTTTACCTCGGGGTCAAATCACACTAGTGATAAAAAATACAGAAAAACCTTGCAGTAATATGACTTATTACATACGTTTAGTATTATACTAAAGTGTTGAGCGGCACAATCTACACTAACCTTTTTAAAGTCATAGAATGTTAAAGGATGTCAGTCCATCACGGTGATTACCAATTGTTTTGTCATCTTATTAAATGACCACCATCTTTTATTTTCAAACAAGTGTTACAGTTAGCATATAGTTCTCTGTTTAAAAGTTACATGGGCAAGTTGTTTAAAACATGACCTGGTGGTTTAAGGCAGTGTTTTAACATGGTGCACTATATTTCATACATTTTATAAACCAACATCCACTGTAATGAATTGGGATTACTGATGAAATGTTATGCGGTGCTAACGTTTTCCTAAGAAGATAACATTTTTAAACTATTATTGAGAGAATCAACAAAAACTGTATGCTATATCGAAGTCTTAGCCTCATACAAACATTTTTGTAAACGCTATGTCAATAAACCTCCAAAAAGTAATAATCTTAAATATTGGGATATATAGTGACTTCTTTTATTGATTCGAAGAAGCACTAACAGATAAACACTAAATTCTACTTGTTTATAAGTACTACTGATAAACTTGAGCTTAGCTGACAGCTCACTATGGTCACTGTATGGAGAAGTGAGTGGTTGACGATTTAGTCAGTGAACAAGACGCTCGAAACTGCTGATAAGATAACTGCTGAGTATATCAACAAAAGTGAAGTTTGCTTTAAATATAATTGCCATCTATGCAGGGGGGGTCATTATTACAGTTACGAAACGAAAATGGAAATCTGAACTGTGATTAGGGAGGGGGTAATCGAGACGATGATTTGGTGGGTCAAACGGACACAAAATGTGAACTAATGCACGTATTTGTGGTGGTGAATTATGCAGAACAAAACCAATATTTTAGAAGCCCAGTGTTTCAGTTAATTCAATAAAATTCTCCATTGTCAATAAACAGAATCCTGTTTGAGTTCCAGGCCGTTCGGTACGACTAATAAAACGCTCCATCTTGTTATATTGTAAAACTTCAAGTTATATTAAGGATATGTAGTAATCGCTGTAATGAAATTCTTAATGAATAGTCCGGTTCCAAAATTATAGAGACACTGGTGGTAAAATAGTCCCTCAACCAAAAATTAATATTGGAACACATTGGCGGATACATGGCATATGAAACTTACGTTTCCTGACAAATATATATGACCAGCTAGCAGCCTCAAGTGTTTAACACTTAAGCCGGTGCAGTAACGCAACCTCCTAAATAAGCGCTGAATCCGTGTTGAAATACCGATTTCAATTCATGAGGAGTTAACCTCCTCTATCTTCTTCCTATATATCTAATTAGACATATTGTGATGTTTATGATCAGTAAGATAATTAGAGCGAGCAAAGTTAGTTAGAGAATACGTTGTTAAGGAAGTCATGGATTTTCAGAGCTTCACAGTACGATTGTCTGAGACACCCTTATATTCGAGGATCCCAAACACACCCACACAGAATTCAGTATTTAAGGAGATCCAAAATGTAAATAGAAAATTATCAGGCTGTCAAGATGTATATAATCCAACAGTTCAGAAAAGTGAATCAGGTCAGTATCGATTTCAAATACTTACTGAACTATTTCTCATGCAGATTTATTGACTGCTACATCATGCGGCTACTTTACCGAGTAACTTCAACTAATAAGATTGAAGAATTACAGAGCTATTTTCTGGGGATTTATTTAAGGCTACTGCTAATTCTACTGGTGAGTTATTGATGGTACGAAGACGTGACCAGCCGTTTAAACGTTGGTAAACACTATTCTGGTTGCTTGCTTTTGTAGCAGCATCTGATCCCTTTTTCTTATTATAAGGAACAGTGTGATACATGACATTATTGTATATAAACTTTACAATGCTAAGATTAATCCTTCGTGTTTATCATTGTACACCAACTCAGATGTGAAAGGCTTATGCGTGAGCGTTTGAAACCAATTGTCCTGTTTCCGCATCCGCCTGTAGGGGTTGGTAATGCCTAATGTTGGTAAATTAAGTACTAGGACGAAACTGTGGTCATGCGATTTCAGGTTTATAATGGTGATCAAGCTAAGACAATTTCGTGATTTCATGTGAGAAAAATACCACACAGAATATTTGGTTTTTTCAAAAAGTTAAATAAATTTGTAAAGGCATACTAAAAATAGTTTAACTTAATTGATTAAACAAAATATATATAATTTGAAATCATGAATCGATCACTGTTAGGCCACTATTAGAAACCTGGAAGCGCTGGACGGCCGTTTCGTCCTGGTATGGGACTGATCAGAAGTGCGATCCATGACTCCTGCTACTCGCAGCACTCGAATCCAGGACCTCCAAGTCTCACACGCAAATGACTAACCTATAGACCACTCAGCCGGTATCTAACGGTGTTAATTTCTGAATTCGGTCAATTCATGGAGTTGCGCAGCCTCATACATAGTCTTTGGTAGTTACTGTTTACATCCGAAAAGGTTGAACTTCACTGGTCACGACTTCCCACTACAACTCGGAGAAGATTCCTCAAGAAGCTAGTCATTAGTGAGCACAGGTAATTGCATTGCAGGGTTGTGAGGATTGTCACGTCACGTATTTAAAATCAGAAATCGATCAATGTTAGGCCAGCACATACAAAGTATTATTGTTTTCGACTTATCGAAATTCGAAAACTCAACGAGGTATTTTTAAACTCGGGGAAAAAGACGCGAGCTTTTAAAATATTCTAAATGCAGTAGTCATTGAGACGCCCTTCTAGTGACTTATCGTGCTTTACTACTACTATTACTGTCATCATTACAACTGTCAGAAAGATGTGATGGCCCACTCTATATTCACAAGATTCTAGCTGAGTAATTTAAAGCGAATTCTAAAAGTATATCTCAGTTACTTACGAACTTACGCCTATCATCACTAATGGAGCACACGCCGCTGACTAGGATTCTCCCACCAACCGCTCAATTCCGGTTTTTCGCAAGAGTTATTTATGCTCTTAACGTCAACTTCCGATTCGCACTGCAATGTTCTCCCCAGCATTCCTTCCTTGCTTTTGCCTTGAGGTCTACCAGGTAGTGATCGTTTTGTTACATTTTGACGATTTCCGGGATGTATACCATCTACTTACAGCGTGGAATCTGCTTTCTTCTCTCCCACAGTAGGCTGTTACTGAAGGTGCCTAGACAACGGATCATCAGTGCGTTGTGTAGAAAACTGTTAATAAACACCTGTATCTTGTGAGCAGTGGCTTTAGTAGTTCTTTAAGTTCCTGATTTACATAGTAAAACTGCTTTTGCGTTTTAAGTCAAAATTATAACATTGGAATATCTGACAGACTGTTTTGCTTTGCTAATCCTCGTCTTCACATCCTCATCAGATTCACCTTGTTTATCAGTGATGCTGTTCAAGTGTATGAAGGTTTCCGAATCTTCCAGCTATTTTCCATAAAATACGATATGGTTGGTGCACGTTGTGTTATATCGGAGGATCTTGTTTTCTCCATTGAGTGAGTTGAGATCTGTTGCAGCAGAAGCTTGTTGTTTTTTGTGGGGTAGAAAAGTTAGGTGATATGTGAAAGGATGCAGTCCGCTGAATCTTTTGCTTCTCTTCAAATATCGGTATATTCATAAACTCGTTCCTATACTTTCTTTTTACTGTCACATGTCCAAGCCAATTTCATTAAAACACTTTCATTTTGTATGTTGTGGTGTGTGTTGGTTGCAGTGTGCGCTTTGACAGTTTTTCTGACATCATAAACACTGACATAAAATCTGTTTTATGCAATGATGGAAATTTATTGTTCACATAACAATACCGATGTCTGTGAGCATGGGATTGTGGAGATTATTGAGTTTCATAGAAATCATGAACCGATCAATGTTAGATAGGCATTGGGAACCTTAAAGCACTGGCTGAGAGTGCCGTTTTAGTGGTCAGATTAAATAGACATCACATAACTTTAATTAATATCAGATATTCACATTATTATTGTACACTTCTTTAGAATGAACTGTACAAAATAAATGATAATCTAAAAACTAATCACTATTCAGGTAATGCTGTTGTCATTCACATAGCTTTTGCCGAGTGACACAAATTTTCAAGATATTAGGTTGGTTGGACTTGTCAATTCAGTTGTTCTTTAAAATGCTCCACTCCATATTTTCGCTGTTATTTATTGTTGGCGATTACTTTGCCTTTTCTTGATTTTCACTGGTCGTTCTCGTTTACGATGTTCTTCTTCACTTGCTTGTTTACTTCCACGTATTCGGTTTGAGCGTCAGCTTTCTCTTGTCTTGTACGGCTGACGTTGATTTCTGCCTTCTTGTTCCTCCATTCTTGGATCTTATCCCAGATACTAAAAGTTATTCATTCTGAGTAATTTTGCTTCTTATTTCCCATCACAGTCTCAACTAATTGCTTCTTCGTTCCCTTTCCAGTAGTTTCTTTTCAATTGAGTATATCGTGAAAAGCCTGTAACCTATTGCTGAGGGTTACCCCGAATTCGTTTAGTTTGTCAGTATCTGAAAGAAATGCCATATTAAACTTTGTGATGCCGTTTGATCACTTTTCCAGTGCTTCTTGAGTTATTTTTCATCTTGCCCATCAACAAGTGGTGATCTGGGACAACCTCAGCCCCCTTCTTTGTTCTTGCGTCCTCCATGATCCTTCTGAAATTTTTATAGGTGCTCACGTGATGAATTCAGTTCCGTATAGTGTGATTCGGCGAAACCCATGTGACTTCGTGTGTCGTTAGGGTGTGAATATGGTGCTACCAATATAACCATTTTGTTGTAGGCGTATAGGCATGTAAACCTCTCACCATATTTATTCCTTTTTCCCATAATGTCTCCATATCGAGCCTTTTCCATTCCACTCTTAGTGTTTAAGTCTTCCATCTGAATGACTAAATCATATACTTACCATTTCTCGACAATTGATTTCATCATCCCATAGCAGTGATCTTTATTGTTTTCACTGTTATCATCGGTAGTTGGTAGTTGCATTGTACAGAAAAATATCCATAGTAATCCCATCTTTCTTTGTTTTGAAGGATGCTCTGATGAACCCGGTGTAGAATTCTTTTTGAATGTTTTGTTTTTGGGAAAATCCCTCCATGTTTACATATTCTTGCCATGACCTGATGGACTTTTTCTCTTGACATTTTTGGTATTTTATTTGATTCCAATTTGAGATTTTACCATTGTATATTGTTATTCTTTCCATATTTTGTACTTATATTGAAGTTTTTGTGTTTGCTTTTGAACTGTACATATATTGTTTAAATTTGATATAATATGGCTACCGCCACATTTTTGGATAGACGTGGTGGCTGCTGAGCTTAGTGTCACTTACTAGCTATTGTAATAGATACTCTACGGAGTAATTTAGTCCTGGAAGAAACATAAACATCACGGTTTTCTCCTAGAATTTTCGGCTTTCTGATTTGGCTGGGACGGGTATCTAGGAGAATCGTACCGGTGTGTTTCTATTGGACGCGATTAGGGCAGCCGCCTGCGAAATAAATTCTACAGTCTGATGTTTATCCTTCTGGCGTGAATTATACTTGGAAATATTTACCAGAACGCATATAATCGGATCTATTTGGATTATTAAGAATTACAAGGAAACAATTGGAATTTTAATCGTTTATCTTAATTCTGAACTGAATTTTGGAACTATTCTATTTTGTATCTGTTACCTTTCGTATTGAATCCTATTTATGATGTCAAACCGAAAAAAATCACACGTGAGGAGGGTGGAAGAGCTCGACGGATCACAGGGCTCTAGGCAAGTCGTTGATAATAACCTTTTTATGGGTAATCCTCATGTTATGTCTGATATTTATTATTGTAAGTCACCCTCGGCAGGCATTAAGGAATCAGGATTAAGTGAGAGTCCTAAAGTACCGGAGACCGATCAGATACGTAAGTCATCGATAGAGGGTTTAGAATTACCTAAGGTTGAACTTTCATATTTTGATGGAAGGTCTCGCGACTATTTTAAGTTCATACGACAGATAGAGACGTTTATAGAACCTCGAATCAAGGATGATCAAGTGCGTTTATTGTATTTAATTCATTATTGTAAGGGAAAAGCTAAAAATGCGATCGAAGGCTGTCTTATAATGGACCCACAGGCAGGATATAAGAGAGCTAAGGTTATTTTAAAACAGCTTTTTGGGCAGTCACATGTGATAGCGCGAGAAACCTTAGAGGACTTATTTAGAAGTGGGAATGTCGAATTTAATGATCCTGAATCATTGACGAACTTGGCCATTAAAATGCAGAATGCTTCTTTAACTTTAGAACAGTTAAATTGTACAGCTGAACTTAACTCTATGACTACTTTAGAACGAATAGTAAGGCTCCTACCTCGTCGAATGCAAGCCCAGTGGGCAGAGCTAGTATTCAAGTGGGACGAAGAGGAGAGAGAGCCCAATTTTAACGAATTGACGGAATTTATTATGTCTCGTGCTAAGATAGCTGGTAGTAGGTTTGGAAGATTAGCTTATCAGGCTAAAACAGGAAATAATAAGGAAGCTACTAGTGGTCTGCGTGCGAGACATTCGGATTCTTCGTTTCTACCTAAAGCATACTCGGAAGATAAGAGAATTGTCAATTATATCACGAAAGCATACCCTGATGAAGTACGAGTACGTGACCGTAACGATGTAAATTCTCTTGATGCGTGTCCTCGTAAGAAGCCGGATGGTGTAACAGATAAGATGGCTTTTCTAAGTGTAGAAAAGAAAGAAAAAGGTGAAAAAGGTAGGCATCAAGATGGATCCGGAGTGTGTGACGATAAAAGCCTTTTAGCTGCTCGAAAGGCCTGGAACGGTAATTTGGATTCGAGTAATCAGAGGTTGGTGAGTTCAGCAAATATGAATAAAGCCCAGACAGGATTGACTGAACGGAATAAAGCTTATTTTCGGAACCCTTCAGTTAGGGTAAATTATATAACTGGACCTAGAGTAGCTTCTAGGATAAGTGATGGTGATACAGTAACGGTTAAGAAGCCTAGGAGACATGATGCTACTATTACTAAAAAGCCTGAACCTCATGCTCTTACGGATGCTACGATTAGCTATGGAAATAGTAGCCATCAGAACCTCAATAGTCACAGTGATAATAAGGATATAGAAAGTGTCAGCAGTCCACTTATAGGGACTAGTTTATCGACTTCATCGAGTGAGCCTCCTAGTGTTTCGACGCCGTTGGACCTCGTCACGAAGGTTAAGTTGATTGAAGATGCACAAGGTTGTGCAGCTGTAACTGTTCCTATTACGGTTGACCGTCAGTCGAGTGATGATGAGAAGAAAATGGTTGATGGTAACAGACAGTCTACAGTGATGTGTGATGACGATGCTATTGTTGAGCATATGTCATGTGCCGCGGAAACGGATGCTAATGTAGAACGGAATCATTTAGACGTTGACAATAAACTGGATGTCACTGATGTGACAAATGAGTTACCGACGATGATGAACACTGTTCAAACCTCCTCTGCATCAGGAGATGGAAGGATAAATATTGATCCTACGTCATGCTACTTAAGGTCTTCTGGAGACGACGAAATGTCAAAATTGGAAATCTCACCCTTGCATATTAGTTATGGGTCGAAAACTTCTGTTGATAAGTTGGCATCACGGACTTCATGGTCTCTGCTGATCAGAGCAAGTGGTGGTGGATTGGCGACTCGTCCCCACGATAGAGAATGTAGTCCTTGGATAGGATATGACCAGGTTTGCGACGCGTTGTTCATGTTCGTATGGGTTAATTGGGGAAGGTTTATACTACCGTTAGGTCATTCCACGATAGATAGGGGAATCAAGGGCCTGATGGGAAAGTATAGGTATCTAGTTAGCGCGATAGGTCATATCCATGTTGGATGGCGGGTAGGCGTACTGCTGTAAGTCCTACACGTTATTCCGGTGTGGATTAGGGGATAACATGGGAACCCTAATTAAGGTGTCGTTAACGCTTGCTGTTTTTGCATGGAGGGATTTTGCGGGCCGGTGTAGAATTCTTTTTGAATGTTTTGTTTTTGGGAAAATCCCTCCATGTTTACATATTCTTGCCATGACCTGATGGACTTTTTCTCTTGACATTTTTGGTATTTTATTTGATTCCAATTTGAGATTTTACCATTGTATATTGTTATTCTTTCCATATTTTGTACTTATATTGAAGTTTTTGTGTTTGCTTTTGAACTGTACATATATTGTTTAAATTTGATATAATATGGCTACCGCCACATTTTTGGATAGACGTGGTGGCTGCTGAGCTTAGTGTCACTTACTAGCTATTGTAATAGATACTCTACGGAGTAATTTAGTCCTGGAAGAAACATAAACATCAGACGGTTTTCTCCTAGAATTTTCGGCTTTCTGATTTGGCTGGGACGGGTATCTAGGAGAATCGTACCGGTGTGTTTCTATTGGACGCGATTAGGGCAGCCGCCTGCGAAATAAATTCTACACCCGGTTCCAGGAGATTCCTATTCTGTAAGTTCGTTTTGTGCTTCTTTGTGCAGCTTCAGTGCAAATACTTGAATGAAAGACGTTTTCGTACCAATGCTTGCAGTCAAACATCTTCTACAGTTGCTAGTGTTTTTGTACCACCTGCGCTGGATGTTATTCACATGTTTGAAGAACTGCCTCTTGATCCAGAATTTTATACTTTAGTCTCCACAAAATTCTTTATGATGATTAGAAGTATGTGTAGAATTTATTTCGCCGGCGGCTGTCCTAATCGCGTCCAATAGAAACACACCGGTACGATACTCCTAGATCCACGTCCCAGCCAAATCAGAAGGCCAAAAATTCTAGGAGAAAACCGTCTCTATATTGTTATAAAATGGAAATACAGAGGCTTACGATGTTTTTGTTTCTTCCAGGACTAAATTACTCCGTAGAGTATCTATTACAATAGCTAGTAAGTGACACTAAGTCCAGCAGCCACCGCGTCTATCCAAAAATGTGGCGGTAGCCATATTATATCAAATTTAAACAATATATGTACAGTTCAGAAGCAAACACAAAAACTTCAATATAAGTACAAAATATGGAAAGAATAACAACATACAATGGTAAAATCTCAAATTGGAATCAAATAAAATACCAAAAATGTCAAGAGAAAAAGTCCATCATGTCATAGCAAAAATATGTAAACATGGAGGGATTTTCCAAAACGCAAAACATTCAAAAGAATTCTACAGTATGTGAATCAAGAACTACGGGATAAGCACAAACGAATGTACTGTATTTAGAATTCGAAATCAAGCATTCAACAACAACAAGAAGTCACTAGTTAATTCAAACACTACATCCGCCACAGCTTAAATTGCAATCCAAGTGTCTGTAATCAATTGTACGTCTTCTTCTCAAATTCATCCTGTGTCTGTCAGACAGTGTATTGGATAAAGGCTCTGTGTTATCTAGAATGCTCTCATTAGTATTAGAATTAACAACCGAAATTGGAACAGACTCACCTGGTTCCTGGAATTGTCTTTGATCAACATGTCGATTGTGTGTACTTAAGTCATTGATATCTAGAAGTCGCACCATAGATATCCCGATATTCTTCAGAACAATCCCCGTGGATGGTCGAAGATCATTGCCATGATAATATGTAACTTCTGCAGACTCCAAACATCTTATATTCGACCGAAGAATTCTTCATTTTAATAGTTTTGATGGAGTCTCTTTCGTCACCGAATGTCTGGCATTTCTATATTGCAGTGGAAAGGTATCTGCTCCCCTCTCCAGCTCATTAAATGTTGAGGCGGCAATAGAATCAATCCACTTCGAATGCTGATTTTTCAGCTTATGACACTTTTCGCAATTGTTTGCTGTACGACAAATATCTGCATTTATCTCTGGCCACCAACACGTGAGCCTCGCCAAGGACTTCATTTTCTCAACACCTAAATGTCCACTATGAAGATCTTCCAGGACAGCTTTACGCAATGAAGGAGGAATAACAACCCGATCATTTAAACACAAAATACCATCAGGAGTAGTGGATAGCTCATCCCGCTTTGAAAAATAGATAGGGAATCTACGTTTCAGATTAGCATTCCAACCTTTCCGTATAGCATTAATTATACATCCAAAGTTTCTACGAGTTTCTCTAATGAGATCTGGACGTTTCACTGGTAAAGGTTGCACCAACAAACAGTCTGAAGTATTAACAGGTTTTTCTTGTAATGACTGTCGAGAAATGTAGTCAACATGTTGAATTTGCTTGGCACTCCTGTGCTGAACCGTATAGTCGTAGGCACTCAAAGCAATACTCCATCGTTGAACCATAGCAGCTGAGGCACGTGCTAAGGATTTTTCAGGATGATAAATAAACTGCAAAGCCTCATGATCAGTAACAATAGTGAATTTCTTTCCGAATAAATATTTATGAAGTCTTTTAACAGCCCAAAACACAGCTAATGCCTCTCGCTGAGTCTGTGAATAGCCTTGTTCAGTAACAGTAAGTTTGCGTGAAACACAAATAACTGGTCTACCTTCCTGTTCCAAAACTGCACCAATACCCACAGGTGATGCATCAGTGATAAGCACAGACTGTACACTAGGGGAGTAAGTTCGAAGAACAGCATCACTTTGAAGAAACTTTAGTAGACTACGTAAGCATGACTCTTGTTCCTCACCCCATTTGAATGAATTGGATGTCAAAATATTAAATAAACAATTTGCACGACAAGAAAAATTAGGAATAAAACGGGAATAGTATTGAAGAGCACCCACTAGTGAACGTAGTTCCGTAAGATTTTTTGGAGACGGTGCATTTGTCAGTGGAGCTAGTCGTTTCATATCTGGTCTAAAACCATTACCATCAACTAGGTATCCAAGACATTCAAAACTAGATACACAAAATGAACACTTATTTGGATTTACTGTAATATTCTTCTCAATTAAACGACGCAATAAGGCAATAAGTCTCTGGTCATGAACTCCCTTATCAGCACCATGAACAATCAGATCATCTTGATAAACTTCAACACCTTCAAGATCATTAACCACCTTATTCATAACTTCCTGGAATATGGCTGGAGAACAACTTAGACCAAATGGAAGGAAATTGTATTTAAACAGACCAAAAGGAGTATTAATTGTCGTCAAAATAGATGAGGATTGATCTAAAGGGATTTGAAGATAAGCATCTTTTAGGTCAACTTTCGAGAACACTTTAGAACCATGAAGTCGATTTAGAATATCTTCAGCCTCTACCGTCGTGCATGTTTGCTTCAACAAACGGGAGTTCAATGTTAGTATATCGTCACCACATATTCTAGGAGTCTTGCCATCCTATTTCAGCGGCGTAGCAATAGGAGTACCCCATGCAGAAGACTGAACCGGTTCAATTATGCCTTTTGCACACAAATCATTCAATGTCTTATGCACTGCATCTCGAAGACCATAAGGAATTATTCGTCTTTTGAGAAAGACTGGATCACCCTGTACTTGAAGTTTTATAGGCTGGATTTTCATACCTCCACTGCACTTAGCACACGTGGCTATCAAATCTTTAAGTAAAGCATCAGAATTTTCTTTAGAAACTAGGAAAGACAACTCCACTTTAAGCCTTTTCAAATTCTTTAAACCCAGTATTGACAGTCCTGTTTCGCTAACTAAAAATTCACAAGGTATGTATGAGGAATTATCATCTCTTATTAGCAATTCACAACATCCTCGTATAGGCAGTCTGTGTCCAGTAATCCCCAATATTGATACTTCAGTGGGTCGTACCACAACGTTAGGATCTAACGATTTCAAGTTCTTGAATGAAATAATGGACTCTATACTGCCTGTGTCCACAATAAAGTCATGACATGAACCAAGTGATGTATATAATCGCTTTTGAATATGAGCATTACCTTTCGAAATGGTAGACAAAGATAAATGATCATTAGGATCAGCTGAATTATTGGGATCTAAATTACAAGATTTAGTACTACTTGAGGCAAAATGAACAGTAGCTTTGCATACTGCTTGAATGTGTCCTATCTTACCACATCTAAAACATTTAGCATTGCGAAATGCACATGAATTACGAGAATGAAGTTTTCCACATGATAAACATTTGCCAAACTTGGTCTCACCTTTGTGATTTCCTTTGTAATTCTTTATTGAAACACCGTTCATATTTACACGAGAATAGGAACCACTGTTAAACGAACACAATTTTGATTGACCCTGAGATTGTATTTCATCATGACAACTAATCAAAGTATTGGAAATCTTCATCGACTGAGTATCAAGTTCATTCAACGCCTCGTAGTTAATACACGCAGTTCTAACATCTTGAAAGGAACAGTTTGACATTCTTAACAGCTCTCTTTCCAAACTAGGTATGTTAATTCCTGCAATTAATCGGTCTCTCAGCTGCACATGAAGTTGATCACCGACATTACATTTGACAGCTTGTTTCTGCAATTCAAGACTGAATTCCTTAACCTTTTGGTCGTTTTGACGAATCATCTTATGAAATTTTGCTCCACCGCGACGCCAGTATGATGATTAGAAGTATGTGAATCAAGAACTATGGGATAAGCACGAACGAATGTACTGTATTTAGAATTCGAAATCAAGCATTCAACAACAACAAGAAGTCACTAGTTAATTCAAACACCACATTCTTGTTATATTTCAAGCACACATGGTTTGTATATCAAACACACCGGACTACATGTCACCATAAGATGAGAAAATAAATTCATTTATGAACAAGACAAAGGCGGCTGAGAGTAGGAGGGCTGCGAATATTACATTAGCAATAGATCGGGAATGACAAACCTCACAACGGTAGGCGTTGAGTTAATCGAAAGGCTCTGAAAAATGTAAAATATATATATATATACATATATATATGCATATAATCCGTATGTAAGTACGGTAAACTTCATCTTAATCTGCGACGAACACGTAATCAAAATCTTTTTGGCCAAGCTGGCTTACCATTCCAGTGATTTCGAATAAACATGCGTACTTTCAGAATTATTCAATCTGGTAGGTTCGTTTCACTGGAAAATGAAAGTACCTAAGGTTATTCTTCTATGAGGGGAAAGTTATTGAACCGTTGTCATACATCTTATCAATGTTAAATGTTTCCGACCTTGGAAATTATACAAGTCTTTATACGGTGCTCTAAAGACGGGGATTTCGCGGTGGCAAAAAGTTGTTGACAGATAAGTCAGTCCGAATGTAGACCGTGTTTCTCAGGTTTTTGCGCCAAATTTAACTGGCACGACCCCTTGCGCTGTTGATTTTTAGTTTCAACCATCAGTCTGTCTTGATCTTGCACATGTGTTATTGCTAATTGTTTTCTACAGCCTGGTATACAGATAGTTTAAAACATTTTTTGAGGAGTTCGAATAAAATTTTATATCGGTAGTTTACGATGAATCTCACTGGGCACGATCGATTTACTCATAGCAAGTTTATTTAAAAGACCAGTGAGATAGAATGATTTAATGCTCACAATGTCTAGGGATTGGATGGAGACATGCGTAGAAGCCGAGGGCAAGAAAGTAATGGTCATTGCAAAAGTAGTTATTATACCTGGGCTCCATCAGTGTTGTCTTCCACTGCTAATGTGGTATTACTATCTTTATGTAATGCTCTTTATTCTTCCTTTCTTATTACTTTGACTTATGCTTCATGCAATCTTCCACTCTTCCATTGGGTTGAGGCACTAATATTTCAGACTTCCTGATATTGTAATCAGCTCACACTGACTTAGTAGTCATCGTTAGCCGGGACTTGCTTGAATTAATGGTATTTAGTTACAAACGTAAAGATGTAGTTTAGGGATTTGTCTAATGATCCAAATGTTGGTTTCCCACTCTTCTGCCAATCATAAGTTAACAAACTTTTTACTCGGAAAATTCCCCCAGCACTCAGTTTGTGCAACATTAATACAAAATGACCTACGGGTGATTGCGAATCATGGCTTTAAGATGACAGAATACTTGAGTAAAGGTTTTGATTGTTATGGCTCCCTTAATTATTTCAGGTGATATGTTAATGACTTGTTTAAGGTTCGTCATGCTCATCATGTTACTTATCTAATATACTGTATTTAAGCATTCAGTTTACTTCCTATGAACTGAACGTTCGTTCTTAAGCAGTTTTAATAAATGGGTACTAATTCCGTAATCAGGTTTCTTAAACTATTCTTTCGTCTTGTCGCAGGATAAAGTTTAACTTTATGCCTCCGTGTCGTATCTCAAATAATAATTTAGTCATTTATATCATCGTCAGAAGCAGGACTAAATTTCTCAAAATCACCATCATGTAAATCCAGGACAAGATTTCGTTTTTACCATCAAGTTGTCAACTACCGGAAGTCTACTAATAATAGTAAGGCTATTTCTTTTAAATTCCACTTTGAACTGCAATATACGTTCAATAAAATGATTACTAATCATTTTTCACTGTTAAACAAGCTGAAATTTTCTTCGTGTTCGTACAGATTGGGAGTGATCGGATCCTTTAGGAGCATACTTACTGGTTTGATTTAGTGAAGCCATTTTATTCCTTGCATGTTTGTTATGTTGTTGGAGTTACAGTTATTATATTTGACAGTCTTAAGTTACTACTGCTAAGATATAATCCAATTTCGCAGTAAACGCCTATATTTGTAATCTCGTTCTGTCTTAAGCATTTGAGAATGTTACTATAATAGGTGGGTTTTTAATAATAAGACTGGTGATTCAGTTGTCTAAGCACTCATATATATCAAATGACGATTACGAACATCAAATCATCTTAAAAAATTAGTAGACTAAGATACAGTCCTTTTATTGTAAGTAAGTGAATATCTTAATTCATGAACCTACATCTGGTTACTGAAGTGTTATTGTTTTTATCCTATGCTTTTATGTGCCGTAGATGCTTTTATATAAGTTTCCGATCCTAATTATTTTAATTTTCGAATAAATCCCTTCTCTAAAATATAAATTTTGTCCTTACAATCAGTATATCAATGTCAGTCAATCAGTCTTCGTCTCACTCCTTTGAACAATTAAACAATAATCCAGAGGAGCAGTCGCATAGTGGTCCTCCTACATCTCGTTCACCACCTCGTAATCGTTTACCTGGTCATAGCTTCTCATCCCATGAATCTATCGATTCCATCAATCCTGACCAAATGCTTTATTATGGCGCAAAGCAGATAATCAGGTTAATTTTTCAAAGTGATTTTAGTGATATAAAAGAATATGTTGAATTTAAAACCCATTTATGTTGATGTTCTCCATAACCTAGACCTACATTTTAAGCCATATACATTTCGTTTTGCTCACCAGTGAGCGAGTATATGATGTAACAGTTCACTTTGTTTTCATTATGTCACTAAAGCACAACCTATTAGATCAGGAGATCCAGTGTTGCATTAAGATTCCGGTGGTAAGGATGTGTTTCACCTTTAATATTAAGTTATGTCGGAAGGTTGTTAGGTACCGGATATTTTTTTCGTGAAAGTAATCGTAATGTTTATTAGTTTTGAACCCTCTTAAATAATCCATATAAGGTTTGAGGATTCTGTATCAAAAATCTCAAATTGTTTACGTTTTAGTCGGTTAGTCAGCTACGACGTAGTACTTCGTACGTGTATACATCATTTCAAATTGCCATAAAAATACCGTTTGGAATCATGAGAGAAACTGTTTCCTTTTGGTCTGTAAAAGCAAATCCTCCAGTGATTTAGTGAACATACCAGCGTATAAAAATCCTACTAATTGTTAGTAAAGTTTGGATGGTATTATAAAGAGTTTTTTAATATTAAACCACTAGCTCTATAATCAGAAGTAACTTTAAATATGTATTATTCAACTTAACAGGCAGTTGAGCTATACGGTTAAGTGTTTTGAACTTCGAAAATGCTGATTTATGGTATCATCAGTATAGATAATCCCTTTTTCGTGTGCAGGTCATTAGTTTGATCATGGAGATCGTTATATATTCTATCTAGTGCGTCGTGTTTAATACCTCTTCGCTAAATGTCAATTTATAATAAAAACATCTTTATGTATTCTGTTATTGCAATCTTATCATTACCGCATTATTATAACTACACTATTTTGTGCTTTTTATATCATCATTTTAGTTTATTTATACCAGTAACCATTTGTATGTTATTCGTTGTTGCTGTCGCTTCAACTGTTGACTTTTATGGACATACGGATCAGTATTTGTTGTATACACCTTTTCATACACCGGATGCAGATATTGGCACACAAACATGGCAAACAATAGCTAATACTTTGATATTTATGAGTGTTGTTGTCGTAATGACATGTATTCTTGTTTTATTATTCAAGTATCATTGTTATAAGGTAAGACAGGTAAACAATTTTGCATAGAATTTTCTATAAATCCTCATGTTAATCGTGCATATGAAATGGATATCAAAATGATTTACCGTTTTTTGTATGAATCCTGCATAAAGTTTTAAGATTCCTGTCTCATTCACTTGTAAAATTAAATATTACATTAAATTGCTGAACTTTTTTTTGTAAATTATTTCCTTTGTAGTTTATTCGAGGTTGGATAATTATGACAACTGTCTTCTTGCTTTTCCTAATATCCTTGATGTTTTTTGCGTAAGTAATAGTTTATTTCTTTGAAAAAAGTTAAACTGCTTGTCTATTTACATTTATCAATAGCGGTAGATAGACATAGAGACAGAAATAACTCATTTTTGGAATCCAATAGGATTGTATGAATCAGTTTACAAGTTGCAATATTCTACATCGCATAGAAAACAAAGAGGGTATTACTATTATTGTAACATTATCCTAGAAAACTTGGTAACATATATTTGCACCGAGTAATGAATGCTAAGCTATCGAATAAAAACATAATCAAATTCGATTTCATTCTTTTGAATACTACTTATGTAGTGAATGAGAACACAGGTGGGGCAACCGAATTGTATTTAACGAAAATTACAGAGTTACTCAGTAAAATTGGAAAACCATATCGTAAATCGTTCATTTGCAAATTATCAGTCCATCCTATCGAACTGGACTGTTCCTGTTGCAAAACATCAATCGATTGTCACTATTCATGCGTTTCATACAAATTCCATTGTTTTCTAACTCTTCCTTTCTTGATCTTCCCCCATCTTTTGCTGCCAGACATTACGTTGACACTCACGTTATATACTACTTATAAGTAGCTCACACCACACTTATTGTTTATGATGAATATAAACAGTAGAGTTAGAAATAACCGTATAAACAGTAGTGTATAGCTAATAAAAGCAAGAATAAATTGTCTATCCTTATACATTCTTCATATTATTTGTATATCAGTAGTAAGATAGTCAGTTAAGCTGGAAGTAGGACAGTAACTCACTAGTGAGGTCAAGTTGATTAATATTCAACATAAAAATCGTTTTGAATTCTGTCTCAATTTAAATATGTAGCATCTTCGGCGGTAAACATCAAGGTTTTAGATCTTATCTTGTGTGGGGGGTCGTGAATTCACACTGTTAGGGAATCTCAGCTGAACTAAATCAATCATTTACTGCTTCTTTTTTTTTATTTTCAACTACATTTCTATCGATATCAATTCATGATAAAATATACTGTCACATTGTACAAAAAAAAACTCAAAACTCACCCATTAGTAATTTCGATTATAAATTCATTTTATTAGATTGATTTAAATTGTGAGTGTTTATTTGACATTTTTTCGAGATAATTTTCGTGCCAGAGAATGTGTTGACAATTTTCATATTGCAATTCTCATCACTTACATTTTTATGTTTTTTTTCCTGATTTAAAAAAGATACTCTGTGATTATTATTATTCTTTTATATAGTGAAGTTCTTCGAGCTATGGGTGTTTTTGTTGATTATATCACGGTAGCATTTGCTTTATGGAATTTTGGTGTTGTAGGAATGATAGTGATACATTGGCGTGGACCATTAATTTTACAACAAGCTTATCTCATATTTATATCTGCACAGATTGCATTAATGTTTTTAAAATATCTGCCAAAGTGGACATGTTGGCTTGTCTTAGCAGCGTTAAGTATTTGGGGTTAGTTTATTTGCTTTTAATAATTCTTTTTTTAATCCTTCTTTTTTGTTCTTTTAACATACTGCAAACACTGGGAATTGTTTCGGCTATGATGATAAATCAGTGATTTGAATATTTTAGTTATTGCAGATTGTTAGTTGTAACTATTGATTGAAATTGGATGAAGTTCCAAAAGATCATGCCAGTCCAATTAATGATTTTTTAGGTTGATTACCAAGTAAATAATTTGTGGTTTTGCTTTAATCACCATCCTCCTATGTACATTTCTTAGTTTAGAAACTGTAGGCATTCTCTTTAAAGAAATACGATTTTCTATTGGAATCTCATAACGTATTAGGTTATGTTATTGCATACCATTTACTTGTTTTATACTTAAACAAAATACTCAGGTGTGTAACATAGAATTCAAACAAGGTTCGTAGTTGTATCACTTGATACAATAGGTAACTCTTGTATCTAGTGCTTCGACTTAATTATTACAATCCAATCATTATCAGCACTATTAGTGTTAATAATCCCCACAGTCTGGTTAAATATAAAAGTTTTCTTTATTAACTATCTTTTTTACGAAGTTAGTAACAACTAGGAAGTATTTTAAAACCTTATTATATTTTTCTAGTCTACAGCATTGCTCGTATACCGTGGGACAACCGAGTAAGCAATGCTGTCGTTAGGAAACGAGTACTAGGCAAGGATGGCAGATCAATCGATGAAGTGGTGAAACTTCATCAGTTGAGGTGGTTGGGACATGTGTTGCGTATGCCCAACCACCGACTGCCTCGACGAACTTTGTTTTGTGGTGTAGGAGTAGGTTGGAAGAAAGTTAGGGGCGGCCAGACCAAAACATGGCAGAAATCCATGAAGTCATTGACTAGTGGACTGAGCCATGTCGGTAATTGTCGACTACCTGGTTGGGGTCCGCGAGATGATAATAATCCATGGTTAGAGACCTTGAATGACATGGCTCAAAATCGTTCGCAATGGCGCCAGTGCATTTATTCTTTGTGTTCTCTCAAATCCTAATCTTCTGGATTCTTCAACACCTCTAGTTTTGACTCTCTAAACTTTTCTCATTTAATCATACTTCTTGAATAATATCTTCTAATCCTAACCTCTCCGATTACTTCTAATTCCCTTACTACCTCTACTACTATTGGATTTGAATTGACAATTACATCTCTGTGCTGATGTGGTATGGCAACATGAACTGATGTACTTACGTACGAAGTTCTACGTTGCATCTGACTGACTGACTGACAGTCACTAACAATTTTTAAATAAAAATTGCTACTCTTATTCATTTTGATGATTTTTTTTGAATCGTTTGTTTTAAAATTCACATGTCAATAATCAATTTCAAACAGTAGATATTGACATCATACTTTGTGGATAGGTCAATTCGAATTGTGGCAGTGGCTTCAATTTCATGGCGCTTACTATGGTTGTCAAACTGCAGTTTCATTGGTAGCAAGTGGCATGATACTTTGTAAATTAAACCATTAGATTTAAGGTGGCAGCGCATCATGAATTTCTACACGAGATCTATTTTCATGCATACAGTTATAAAGTATTTTTGTATTATAGTTGATGTCACTTTGTGATAAAGAATCTAACCTTGGCTTCCTACACCTAATTTCCAGCATTACATCCTAACTCTGTCGTGGACCTAATAAGTGGTCGAAACTCTGTGAGGTTACTTCAGATCACTTATTAAGCGAATTACTCAAGTACTTATGAAATATGTGACTTGGCTTATGTGGAAAATCAAATTAAAAGTTAAACTGAACGATATATGGATCATACAAAACGAGTAGTAGAGCCTGAATCTTGAATTTCCTCAATTCAAAAGTCAATCATCATTGCATTTTAAACGAGGGGTGATGAGATTTATCTTTCTAGAAAATAGCTATCATTAAGACCTTAGAGTTGATCACCAGACAAGTTTGCAATGTCTTCTACCATTGAATCCCATTGTGATTCAAAATGGGCATAGATTTATTGTTTGATTTGTTAATCAATTTCATGTCAAGATTTAAATTGAAGCGAAACCTCAATACGAAATGTATTCATTTTACTCTACTAACAATGTTTTTACATCCTTGGTAAAGAATGCGTTCTACATAGAGTTAATAGAAAGTCGATATGGACTGGGTAGAAATGGGAGTATGTATTTTATTAAGGATATAATAATATTAAGTATTTTTGCATTATCCTAGAGATGCGTACCTTTGTGTTCGTACTAAAATTTACTTAAGTGTATTGTGTTACTAACAACTAATAAGTAGTATGGGTTTTTAGAAATGTTTTTGTCAAACTTCCATTCATAAATCAATCCTACATTGATTTTAGTTAAAATGATGACTACCTAGCAATATGTCTGTGTTCATTGGTGAAGGAGGTCAAAGATATGAGTATCTAATCGTATTATCAAGACCTACAAATAATGTTATTAAAAGATGTCGTTCCAACAGTTCCAGGTTCGGTGGGGCATCTGCTTATCAACTATCAGTTTGTGATTCAGAAGCCTAAATTTTTTCCATGTCTCTTAACATTTTTGCTAAGATATATGTTAATTATTTACTTCTTATAATCTCCTCTTACTGTGTTAATTATAAATTGGATAACTGAACCTACCACACTTGTATGTACCATATTACATTGGTCTTTTGTAATGACTGCGATTATAACTAGGATATATTTAAAATATTTTCAATTATGTGCGTAGTCTAAACATCTTTTATCTGTATAGATATTTAAAACCGGCATTTTTAAATAGTTTGGGCGTAGTTACGTTTTTTTTCCAATGTATAAGTTAACTTTATGATATTAGATGCATTCAGTTTCATATTGCCATTACGATAAGATAATATTTTCTCATCCTAACCTCTCCGATTACTTCTAATACCCTTACTAACTCTTCTTCTATTGGATTTGAATTGACAATTACATCTCTGTGGTGATGTGGTATGGCGACATGAACTGATGTACTTACGTACGAAGTTCTAGGTTGCAACTGACTGACTGACTTACGATAAGATTGTTACTGAAGCTTTTTTTTTTACTCAACGTCTAATATTGTCTTGTTTATTGCATGAAACAGTAAATGTCACTTGAAATAAATAGATCAATAATAATAATAATAATAGTGTTTTCATTGTTCAATGTCTGTTTTTACACATTCAATACAATATTGTCTTGTTATATGGTATATTATTTATTTATTTTTTTCTTAAACTAAAAGAGAAATCTAGTAGACTTTTGCTTTTCTTATTAACTGAATATTTATCATCATCTTATAGGTTCATTATGAAAACATAAATCGATTCATGATTGTTTTTATTTCATTGCCATAAATTGACATTGATTGTCAAACTAAGAAGGGATAGATAGTTTATTTGTTCCAGACATTAGATCCAAAATTATATGTTTTAAATAATAATGATTAAAATTTATATAGCTTTACATTTTTGTCTGGCAATCTAATAATCCTAGCTTCTTTCCCGAGATTATTTTCAGACTGTTTAATCTAATTCGGGATCAATCTCTATCAAACTGTTTATTCTAACTACGACAAATGTTCATATTAAACATTCATTCAAGTACCTAAATTCACAACAGTGAATATCTTAAACGGCACACTGGGTTGGGTTAAGTCTCTTGCTAATCCAGGTACTCTTATTGCTTAGTATTCTTTAGATACTTGACCTTACTTGAGTAGTTCCCAAAAATCAATATACCGCCTTGGAAGGTGCATATATATGTATTCCAAATAAACCAAGTTGAATAGGAGTGCATTACAATCAGAAAACTGTTGGTATATTTATAATTGTACAAAAAAAACATTCTGTAGTCTTCTCCAGTTGTCCCCTGGCGCTAATTGGCTAACAGCCAGCCAATCAGTGTACTCCAACATAACCTTACGTTAAACGTACTCAAATCAAATCAATTTCCTGCTAACAGATCGAGCATAAGGCCTTTTTGCTTTACGAAGGACACTACTCTTTTTGGTCACTTAATCGAAATATTGACTTATGTACTCTGTGCTTATCAACTCGGTTTAAGCTCCGGACATTCGGTTTTTATCCTCTCGATTTCGTAACCGTCGCTCTTGCTACGAGGAGGCAGTAAGTGGGACTTCAATGTAAGTAGCTATTTGTGCGTGTCCATGTGAGAGCATTTTGAGAGGCAAAGCAGGCTCTCTCCACTCTTAACCGTACCAGGGCATTTAAGGACTTGGTTGATCTTCATCTGTCAAGACTTCTTGGTATTAATTTAGTAAATTCATTTCTATGCTAGTTATTAGTGTAGCAATTATAATCGGTAAATTAAATAGTTTTGTGATTTTTTTTATCATCCAAGGCCCATCTCATCATCTTAGACTGCAACTGGAGGAGTTATTCATTTTATAAGGGTGACTGTACCTTACTAATGACACTAGACGTAGATTTTAAAATGATGAAAGTTCGGAACATATTTACTTATGGAACTTGTGCTAAATTATTCCTAAAAATCGCTGATTGTTAACTTATTTCAGAGTCGAATTCTTATTTGGTTTTCTCTTGTGTAATGTAGTGTTTGTAAAAACAAAAAAGCTTGATGTTTATAAGTGTATGTTATTGCATTTTTAGCAATTAGTTTGTCTTTTGTCCTGTATATAGGTGAAAAATGCTTGACGAATTCCCATAAGGATTGTGTACAGTAATATATCAATCAATCTTTGGTAAATAGGAATGTGATTCGTTTTTCTCTTTAAATATATAGTATTAGAAAAATCTATTTGTATAACATTTGTATAACCCTTGTCTTATATATTCAATCTATTAGAACAAATATGCAGGCTTATATAATTTCTAAGTAATAATAATAATAATTTGATTCAACATTATATATGCTTGGTACAATATGAAATTCCTAGGACAGGATGTTTCAACAAGTTTCCTTTATAAAACCATTCGTGATTGACAGTTGCAAGTAAGCAGTTTAGGGGTTGACATCTAATCAACGTTCAGATTGCGGACCACTGATATGTCTCGGACTGTACCTACTTGTACCTTGTGAAGTGATATATCATAAACCTTTTATATATACGCCTGAATAGATTATTCCCTTAATAGACATAATTGACATGGTAAAACCGATAAACAGAGGTAACTTGTTGAAATGTATTGATGTTAGGAAACAGGTAGCACAAATATTCAAGCGAGTCATCGAAATTGTTTAAATTATCAGTTAATATTATTTTATGAATTCTTTTTTTTTTAAACCTTAAATTTGAAACAAAAAATAATATTTCTTTCAGATATAGTCGCTGTTTTATGTCCAAATGGACCATTACGAATGTTAGTCGAAATGGCACATGAACGACAACAACCTCTATTTCCTGCTCTTCTCTATTCAACTACTGCAGTTTATCTTGTCAAACAAAATCAATCATCAACTGATGATCAAATTGAAAATAGTCAACATTCTGTTGAATCTGTTGATATTCCAAATGAAGTATCCAATGGTAATGATACTATACAATCTTGTTCTACTACATGTGAACTAGGAGTTTCAGGTAAATGTATATATAATCTTATTGATTTTGGAAATGATTTTTGAAGCTGTTTATGTTCAGTGAAATTTATATATATAATTGGATCATCAAGAATTGCTTGTTGCATATTGACTAACTTGTTGATCAATTCTAGTGGTGTTTAATTGTATTCCATAGTTTTACCTGCTAATTATTGATAACCTTTTAATTGACTAGAATTTTAAGGCGAAAATTCATTGATTAAATAATCTAAAAAATCAATATCCTTCAGTCGGTTCATATTCATGTCTCTATCTTTCTCCTTCTAAATTTATCTCACTGAATTATATATATCATATATTCGCTCCCTAATCTTCTCCATTGCTGCTAATAATTCTACTATCGCTACCACTATTGGATTTGAACTGACAGTTACATCTCTGTGCTAATGTGGTATGGCAGCAACCTGGACTGATGTACTTATGTACGAAGTTCTGCCGTGTATCTGTCTGTCTGTCTGTCATGTCAGTAGTGTGGTAATTTGTATATCTCTGTACGATAATTTTTTGTAGGAACAATGAATTTGATATGATGATTAGATGTCTTTCTTTGATCGACGATTTACTTGTTCAATTGTTGTTCCTTGTATCACTATTGAAATAGATTTCAGGAGGAAACCAATTAATAACTGACTAGAATCGACACCTGACTGACTAGAATCGATTAATGAGAGTATTTTAAATTATGACTTTCAAATGTTTAATTTTTATCTTTGATTTATGTTAATTTTCTTAACTAGTTTTCAAGATCACACTTTTTTAAATACCTCCTACAAATTCACCATTATATATCATGCATAAAGAGCTACGGTTAATACAATTATTTAACTGCTCGCTTTATCTTCTCAGCATTTAATGTGTAAGAGTGGAAGGCTTTGGGCCTGAGAATAATAATTCCAGGTAATGTAAATCTACTAGAGTTGTTCGTTATGTTATTGAGTTGTTTAGTTGAATTGTTTACTATTAATGTTCTCTCTCTACATAACACTTGTCAATTTTATATTCAACCAAGAGAGTATGAATTTTTATTTAAAAAAATTAAGTAATAATGAAAGAGAAAAAGCAAAATTGCATCATGATCGATAAAAAGCTTTATTTCTGTTCTACCTGTCAATAACTGATACTGTTTTGCAATTGTGCAGGTGCATTCATTTATTGTGTTCTCTCAAATCCTAAACTTCTGATTTCCTCATCATGTTGGCATTTTCCTTTGTAAGTTTATTTCATTAGCACATTTGAAATCGTTAATCAATCATTGATGATTGATTAATGATTTCAAATGTGTAATCAATCATTGTTAGACCACCATTAGAAACCTGGAAGCACTGGACGGCCGTTTCGTCCTAGTATGGGACTCCTCAGCAGTGCGCATCCACGACTCCTGCTCCTCGCAGGATTCGAACCCGGGACCTTTGGCATTGTAGGCGAACGCCTTACCATCGGACTACTGAGCCGGCATCCAACGGTGTTAATGTCTAACTCTGATTGATCTAGGGATCATTAGATTATACTTCTTGAATAATATCTTTGAACCCTAATCTCTCTGATTTACTGTTCATACTTCTACTACATCTACTAATATGGGATTAGGATTGACAATTACATCTCTGTGTGCTAATGTGATATGGCAACTTGGACTGATGTACGTACGTACGTACGAAGTTCTACATTGCTGTTGATTGATGTCAATAACTGTTCTTGAATTTCGCTAATATTCGTTACTTTTCAAAAAGACCTTATGAAATCTTAATTATGATTAAAATTGAAGTAAAATTTCACATTCACTATTAAAGAATTCATTAAAATTATTGAATATGTGAATAAAATGATCATTCCTACTTTACATATGACTACCATTATGGGACATTTAAAAATAAATCACCTTGCAGTAAATGCTATCGGTTGTTATCAGTCTGTTCTTTTGTTAAGGTTTATAACAAGTTCAATATTTCATTGTTGTGTCAACCATGATAATTCATTTAATCCTAAACAAATAATTTATCTGTTCAATGATCATTGCATTTAAAGCATGTTTAAAACATGTTTTACACAATACCTCAGTCTGATTATATTTCACACTAGATGACTCATATACACTCATACTGTAAACCTGGATTTTAACATTGGAATATGTTAAAACAATTATTGTTAGGAGAACTATTTCTATGATCGGATTTATTTTGATGATTTTGTCAAACAAATTCAGATTTGACTAGTGTTTCGCAAACATTGTTTTTAATTTGTTCTACTTTACACTTACACATAACTGTTACCCTTAATGGGACACAGGCCACCGACCAGCATTCTTCAACCTACTCTGTCCTAGGCTTTCCTTTCCAGTTCTAACAGATTACCATTCATTCTTTTTCATGTTTTGGCCAAATCAAAACGTGGCACAAATCCATGAAGTCATTGGCAAGTCGACTGAGCCGTGTTGGTAGGTGTACACTACCTGGTTGGGGTCCGTGAGACGATGGTTAGCGACCTTGTACGACATGCCTTAAAATCGTTTGCAGTGGCGCAGATGCATCTTTCTCTTTTTAAATTTATTTCACTGAATTATACCTCTTGAAAATCCACTAACCCTAATCTTATCCAAAACCGCTAATATTTCCACTATCTGTACCAATATGGGATTTGAATTGACATTTACATCTCTGTGCTAGTGTGGTATAGCAACTTGAACTTCGTACGTACGTACGTACGAAGTTCTTGAATTTTGCTAGTATTCGTTACTTTTTAAATAGACCTTATGAAATCTTATTTATGATGTAATTGAAGTAAAATTTCACATTCACTATTAAAGAATTCATTAAAATTGTTGAATATGTGAATAAAATGATCATTCCTACTTTACATATGACTCTGTTGTGATGACTTTAATTTTGTTATTTTTTGTCCATTCGTTTTTTATTTCGCTTTCACTTTTGTTTTCAAAAAGTAAATTAAAGTTTCTCATTGTGTTGTTTTTAATTTTCACAAAGAGTAAAATTTCCAGAATAAATTCTGACCAAATAAACAACTTCAAAAATAAAAAAAAATTAGTTTCATCAAACTGTTCACAGTTTGGAAATAATAGATTACATATCCGGAACCATGTACACACTAACAACGATGATTATTTCCGTGGGTTTGGAACTGAAGCTAAGTAATATCATTAGTCCTTTCTTTACATAAGAAAAAGTAGTGATTTTAAGAAGTTCGATTGATGAACTAACTACAATTATTTTGGGGCACAGTTTTGGAGGTTTGCGTTTTTACACATTTGAAATCATCAATCAATCATTGTTAGACCACCACCATTAGAAACCTGGAAGCACTGAAAGACGGCCGTTTCGTCCTTGTATGGGACTCCTCAGCAGTGCGCATCCACGACTCCTGCTCCTCGCAGGATTCGTGCTTCCAGGTTTCTAATGGTGGTCTAACAATGATTGATTGATGATTTCAAATGTGTAAAAACGCAAACCTCCAAAACTGTGCCCCAAAATATCGTAACAGTGCTCACTAGTGACTAGCTTCGTGATGAAATTCTCGGAGTTCTAGTTGAGAAGACGTGACCAGTGGAGTTCAACCCTGTCGTGTGTAGGCAGTAACTACCAAAGACAAATGGGTGAGGTCGCGCAAAATCCCTAGATCAATCAGAGCTAGACATTAACACCGTTGGATGCCGGCTCAGTGGTCCGATGGTAAGGCGTTCGCCTATAATGCCAAAGGTCCCGGGTTCGAATCCTGCGAGGAGCAGGAGTCGTGGATGCGCACTGCTGAGGAGTCCCATACTAGGACGAAACGGCCGTTCAGTGCTTCCAGGTTTCTTTTAATGGTGGTCTAACAATGATTGGTTGATGATTTCAAATGTGTAATGACTACAATTAGTAAATAATTGTAGAAATAGAAAAAAACAGTGCAAGTACTCATTATCTGATAGAGGATCATTTTGTTATGGTACGTGTTTTACTAGCCTCTATAATGTGTTTCTTTCCTTATATTTAGACAATGATAATCAGCCAATAACAGGGGATTCAACTAATGTGCAGAGCATTCCCAATAATGTAAGCGTAAATGTAATTATTCCAATTTTGATCTCATTATTTTATTTACTTAAATTATTTTTATATATTTTTAAGCAGCTGAATAAATTTTAAATAAATTTATTATTATTTTAACTATAATATCTTAAATGACTTGTTATTATTGTAAAAATTTGGTAAATCGTATGAATATCGAGTAAAGTTATCAGCCTTAATAAAAAGTTAAACCAGCCAACCAGTTTATTGAACGTTATAAATTAGTGTAGTATAAATATCATTTACAACGTGTTTTCATTAATTTGTCATCTCAGTACATCGATATTCTTTGATGACTAGATCTGTTGGTTTTTAAGTGTTGGGGATGTTAGATCCCCAAAAAATTCACTTGATAGAGGTCTTAATTTTGGATTTTATTCATGAGCTGATCATTTGACCTTGAGATCATATTTCCTTGTCTGTGGTTGGTTGATGTGATATTTTAGTACGCTATTTTAGTGGCTCTTCCAAGGTGGTTTCTATGGTGCATAAATAAACGCTATTTGTATGCTTGAGATTACTATATTTTCTGGGTGCTTGTAGAATACACTTTCTACGCCATATCAAGACTTCTTCAGTTAGACTGGGCAACAGATTAGAGTAGCCTATCGTGTCACTGGATCATTGTCTCGTTCTTTTTTATCGACTAAGGTGAACTCGTAATAGTTTCAAGCATATCAAGTGACGAACAGAACATTAAGATGTGTGTTTTTTTAGTTTGAAAGTCTCACTTAGATGCCTCTTTAATCTATTAAGTATCAATTTTCTTTGTGAGACTTGAACCTAGCACCCATCCAACTATATTAGTTTCTATTGTTTTTAGGATTTCTGTAAGGAAGTCTAAATCTACCTACTCAACTGAGACTCAATAGTCAGTCAGTTCATTGACCATTCATCCATCCATCATTAGTATTACTCAACATTATTCTAAATCAGCTTATGTAGTATGTGTTTAAAATAAACGATGATATAAAAGAGACTGCTCACTGTTATGCAGCGTAAAAAAATAGTCCATCATAAATAAACTAAATAAATGTTTGATAAGTTCGTCACTTAGTATGCTTGAGGCTATTACGAGTTTACCTTAGTAGATAAACGCGAACGAGACAATAAACCAGCGTCCAGGGAGGCTACCTTGAATACCCAAAGTCGAAATAAAAAGCTTTGTAAGCGTAGAAGTATATTCTACAAACACCCAGCAATCACAGTACAATCAAGCACACAACTCTCGTTTATTTATACAACATAGGAACGTCCTTGAGACAGTTAAGAAAATAGCACACTAAAATACACAGCAGCCAATCACAGCCATGGATTTTCCTGGTGGGAATCGAAATCTCAAGGTCATCTGATCAGCCCATGCTGGCAAAACGTGAAAACCAAAATACGGCATTATCAAGCGAATTTTGGGGATCTAACATCCCCAACAATGTCAAAACAGCATTGTTGATTTGTTATGTTACTTATTGTTGGTATTAGCTAAAAATAAATAGTCACTATAAAAATATGAATACATTCGAAGTTATGTGTGTATATTCGATTTTTAGGCAGAATGTAAATATACCCACTTAGTAGTATATATATATATATATATATTTAATTGAATTGACAGGCGGTGCTGAATATCAATTTCTTCACTTCACTTCACTCGTATTGTGTTTTGTGTTTATATGAAATTTGAACAGGAAAACATTAAAAAAAACTAAGTGTTTCATACAAGTCTTTCATACAAAAAAAACAATAGTGTGTATCACTTCAATGCAAATGTTTGTCATATTTCTATTCCCCCCCTTTCTCGCTTATTAATTTATTATGTGAACTATTTATTTGTACTATAGAGTGTATTTATTTTTTGTAGTTTTAAAAGTATATTGTTAGTAGAAAATTTTAGGAAATTTGGATAGATTTTTTTTTTAAATTTTAATTCCATATCGGTAGGTTTATACCACCATATATTTGAGCTGTTTTAGCATGTCATGTTATGTCTTGTTCTTTCTTTTTTTAAACTGTTTATTCTCATTTCATTAATTCAATCACATGACCAGCACATTTTGTTTTAGTATCAAAGGTGTTAAGGTGTTTCATTTAATTATGTTATCAGTTTTAAATTATTCTACCTGTATAGTATATGTTCTATTTATTGATAACAACGGAGAGAATAGTTCTTTTAAAATGAGAAAATTATTTCAGTGAAATTGAAATAGGATACTATTTGAAAGGATCAGATTTTAGTTCGTTAGATAATGAAGATATTTCACTATCACAATCATGTTTAGCAGATTAAATTCGGGTTTTTAAATATTATTGTAATATGTAATAATACGGTGTGACCAACAATATATAATCGCTCATTCAATTGAACTTATTCGCCAATGTCGGTTAATAAATAACAGATTACCTACCTACCATTGAATAGAAATTTAAAACTCAGTCAGTCAGTTAGTTACAGCGTAGAACTTCCTTCATGAGTACATAAGTTCAGGTTGTCATATCGCATCAGCACACAGACGCAACAGTTAGTTCAAATCCAATAGTGGTAGCGATAGTAGAAGTATTAGCAGTACACTTGGAGAGATTAGGGTTCGAAGATATGAATCGAGATGTATAACTCAGTGAGATAAATTAAGGAAGAGAAAGATACAGATGATGAGAAATTCAGAAGGTTAGAATCTGAGAGAATACAAAGAGTGGATGCAACTGCGTCACTGCAAACGACTTTGAGCCATGTTGTTCAAAGTCTCTAACCATTGATGACTTTTGTCTCGCGGACCCTAACCAAGTGGCTACATCAACCAACATGACTCAGTCCACTTGTCAGTGACTTCATGCATTTGTGCTATGGTTTGGTTTTGGCCACCCCTAGCTTTCTTTCAACCTATTTCTACACCACAAAACATCGCTCTTCGAAACAATCGGTGATTGGGCATTCGTAACACATATCCCAACCAACCTTAGTTGATCTGCCATCCTTACCTAGTACTCGTTTCCTAACTATAGCATTACTTACTCGGCTGTTCTAGGATATACGAGCAATACTTAGAAGACATCTATAATTCAATACTAATAACCTACGAATGTCCTCTATTCTTACCTACTATGTTTTGCATTCATATAGTAGAAGAACATAGCGAATTACTGCACAATTACACTTGTCCTTTGGTTAGGAAAACCAAGAAATTTTAAAAATTCAGAACTAACAAAAAAACATAACAACCTGATTAACTATTCTCTGTAAATGTGCATGAAGTGGTTTTCGGCTATGGATAAAAAAATATTTAATTTACAAAGTTTTCAATGGTTTTATTTGATGAGATTTTTTGTTGTTGTTGCTTACATTTTAAAATAGTGTATCACATTGAACAATTAAAATTGTAAATGAATAAAACTAGTTTCCCCCCCCCCGCAACTGATGATATCAGTTTTATGAATAATAATAATAATAATAACTTAGTCAAAAAATTGTGTGAATATTGTTTTTCTATTTTTTTTAAATTATTTTTCTGGGTAAATATTACTTATTTTTTTTTGTCTAAAGAATTCCAATCCATGTAGTTGAATTTAATGTTTTCAAAAGTATCGTTTGTTTTGAAACTTTTTCTATTATATAATTAATGATTAATATATTTTAGTTAAAAATTGTGTTTTTGTTAGTTTCGACCGTTTTATGTTCGTATTGTTATTGTTATTGTAGACTCTTGGAACCAATATGGTTGAAGAAGCAGACACTCCCACTGTCAATATGAATAACAATAATGATTCCAAGATTATGAATAATAATAATGAAACTCTTCCACAAACACCACATGAAACAAGTACACTTATAACAACAGGTCGATCTAATCGTTGGCGTGAATTGCAAGTAGGTAGCTTTGATTTATTAATGAATTCATTATAATGATTATTATTATTATTATTATTATTATTATTATATGTATAATATTTTGTTTACACACGTCTTTCAGCATCTCTATATTGATTAACATTGTTATTCAATTAGTTTATATGAATTAACCAATCCTGTATTCTCCATCTGTTGACCGACCTTCTGCTATAATCTTACAAAAAAATAAAGTATGCAATCTTTTCAAACTATTTATTGATTGATCACCTCACACTACTGAGTCTATATATATATATATTGACTAGATCTCAAATGGTCTATCTGTATCCGTTCATTGTGTATCATTGTATATCTGAATTCTTTAAAATTTAAACTCTTATTTAGCATAACTAACTATGTAGGAATTTCGAATCAGTTTGTAATGTTATTGTAGCACACCATATCAATCAGTATAGAATATGCAGTAAATGAAAATAAAACAAATCACAACTATGTGATCAGTTCTTAAGATATAAAGACAAAAGCATTCAACACACAACAAAGTTATGTATGTATCTTTGCTTGTTCAACATTTCAAAGCATTCATCTTGGTAAATTGTAACTGACTTTTAAATGATATGTCTTACCTTAATCTTCTTTTCAAATCGTTTGCCACATCTCGGTGATTAATATAGCTAGCCAACCAAAAGTGTGGCCAGGTCACGTGATGACAATTTGAAATGTCCTAAGAGATGAATACATATCATTAGTCATGAAATGGATTCATTTTTTAAGAGGAAGAAAGATATATATATATATATATATATATATATATATATATATATATATATAAATGAGTATTCATGTACATTATTCGATAGCCATTTAAAATTTATCTCCCACTCTTGCTCTGTCGCTCAAGTAGCCAATATGAAAGGTTGACACATATTGAAGTTTCGATCTCGGACACCGTTCAATCAACTGATTACTTTGTAATGAGTTGGTCCTAGGCAGAAATCAACGCATACCTATTACAGTATTGTTATATTTTGTAGTATTCTTACTGAATATGGTTTAAAATATACAATCACCTCATGCTCTTTGTTCATAACACGTACTTTTCGCAGTTATTAGTTGATATCGAGCATAAATTTGTATTTTTATTGTAGTTTGTCCTGTCATGGGTGTTTTTAATTAGGCGAGGAGTCATTATATAAGAAATTAAGAGGTCTGGCTCTTTCGTAATCTTCAAGTTAAAATCCGAAATTTATCTACAACCAGTTTCGTTCGTCTTAATTTGTGAAATCAACATTTACTAAGAACATAGGACTTTAAATATTCACAGACAGTGAGATTTCTAAGGTTTTGAAGGATATTAAATAGTGCTATCCAAATGATCAATTTAATGACCTTTATTCCAATTACTAGGTAAACCGACTGAGCAATTACTAAAGCCATCTCAAGATTAAGGATCATTGCATAAAATATTATCGTATAGGGGATTTGTAGAGGCTGTTGAATTTTACACTCAAAATTCCGGTTAAACAACCACTGGAAACCAGGAAGTACTGGATAGCTACTTCTCCTCAGATCTGATTGTTAGCGCTTAACCTTTTAAATAGCTAAGACGGCGTCAAACGGTTCATATGTTTAACGCAAATTAATTCTCGAAATTGAGGAACCATTTTTCAACTGCCTCATATAATATGATTGAATTATATCTTCTGGTTAGCGTTTTCTTAGCGAGTTAGTTTTCTACGGGATGGGGTTGCCAACCCCACGCCCAACCCTCTTTTATTCGGGCTTGGGATCAGAAGTAGCCCCAGAAGGATTCCAGGTGGAGTTAGCTTTTCAATGTATTTACAAATAATTAGTCTTGACATCAAAGGAACTTCCCAATATGTTACTCACACTATTTTCGTAAGAAGCACTAGCCCTAGCGACTTTACTAACAATAGACTATCGACAGCATTAAGGCGATTTGTTTACCATCAATCGACTTGTTTTGCTATCAAGTTTGACTTGAAAGATGTCCAGTGTATTATACTTCAAAATCTTGTTTTTACCCTTGTGGATGTTGAGATCTATTTGTTCGTAGGCTGTTGCTACATTGGCTGTCTTTTTTCGAATCTACTGCTGTGTTTCCGTAGGATAGTGACGATTTTGTCAGGTAGAGCATTCCACAAAATTCTATCCATGCTGTTGGATAACTGCTTGAAATCAAAGGAGTTGGTTCATACTGATGACTTCCATTCAACTAATTGTGTATGATCGCGTTTCAGTGTAGTGAATCAGTTGGAGCAGAAGCAGGTCTCAACATACAGAAACGAAAAAGCAAGATTCTCCGATACAATACAACGTACACCGAACAAATCACATTTGATGGAGATGCCTTGAAGAATGTACAAACCTTTATATATCTAAGTAGCATCATTGACAAGCAAGGTGGATCTGATGCAGATGTGAAAGCGCGAAACGGTAAAGCAAGGGCTGCATTACTACAATTTGGGAACATCTGCAACTCGAAACAACTATCAATCAATACCAAGATTAGAATTTTCAATGCAAATGTCAAGACAGTTCTACTTTTTGGTGCGGACACCATCAGAAACAATCTATCATCAGAAAGAACAAACCAGATTCCAGTGGAGGAAGGAACGAGGAAGAAGCAGTGGAAGTGGATAGGACACACATTGAGGAAAGCACCGAACTGCGTCACAAGACAAACCCTCACTCGGAATTCTCAAGGTCAAGGCAAAACAGGAAGGCCAAAGAACACATTACGCCGAGAAATAGAGAAAAATATGAAAAGAATCAACAACAGTTGGACAGAACTGGAAAAGAAGGCACAGGGATGAGTAGATTGATGAATACTGGTCGGTGGCCTATGTTCCATTTGAAGGTAACAGGAGTGATTTAACTTCACTGATGATGACAGCTTACTATAACTGTGGATATGATTACCTTTTGAAATTTTTGATTAATGGGCAAAATATGAGATATAATCTTTTACTCGGCGATTATATATACCATTTGTTTATCTGTTATTATTATTATTATTATTATTATTATTATTATTATTATTGTTACTTGTCATGTATGTATACATTGTGTATTTACAAATTTATGTGAAATATAACTTAGAACATTTACGTCATTGTAATTACGCAAGCTAATCAAGTATTTTCTAGATTGTTCTATAAATATACATACATATTCATTGACTAACTAGTTAGAAAAATAATCATAAAATTAACTTAGTTCAGAAGAAGTCAACAACATATTGCTTAATTATTCCAATCTGTTCAGACCACAATTTGGACACATTCATCTTAATCTATGTAATTAGTTTAATAAAAATACTAGTCAAATAGATAGAAATTCAATTATAACTATCTATCTATCTATCTATCTATTCAATCTTCTTCTAAGGAGAAAGTTATATTGTTTTCTATTTATGTGTTGTTGTTGTTGTTCAGTAATAGTTTAGTTGTTAAAGTAATTCACTCTAAACTAAGTTTCAGGTTCAAATCCAGTTCGTTCTACTTGAATTTTAAATTAGTCATGTGATGTAATTGGTTCTTAATAAATAGTATATAGTTTAATTCTATTTTAAGGTTAAGTTACGTTCCAATGAATGATCCTCATATTAAAAACAGTCGAATCAAGTTACAACAATAATTCCCCATTCGATTGATGAGAAGAAGACTTGAGGAAGTTGCTTGATATTCTGATATGTCAAAATTGTAATTGAATTACACGGCTCACGTAGCAATTGCTATGATCTTAAAACTTAAAACAAGATAACAACTTTGAAGCAAAAACTAATCAGATATCAGTGGGATAATATGACTTAGAAAAAAAACGTTATCAAGGTGTTCTTAATACGTCAAAACGACCATTTGTTAACATAATATTACAAACAAGTAGACAATTTAAGGTTTTGTTTGTAGGTTTAAAGTTGGATATAAAAATTTATATTTGGTTTCTGAATTACCTGTACGGATTTTATTCTTTTACGTCAAGTAAAATGACACCTACACTCTGTACATTTTGTCGACTTAATGATTCACAAATAACATTTGTGCATTCGACCATTCAGAAAAGATATTTTCTTATTACATCCACAGTATAATCATTTTATGCTGATCATCACACTATCCATATTGAAGTTCCACAGTGTTGCATAATTTTGTTTATAAATTAACCCTTGAATCATGAAGCAATTATTGTGTTTATGATTTAACACTAGCTGAATATTTTGATAAGTATAACTGTATTCATAGATTTCTATGAGCGCACTAGTTCAAAATAATTAGCTCTCAATAGTGTTTAATTTTTTTTATTCCTTTCAAAATTAAACTCAACGCTTCACATTCCTGTGGAAGACATACAAAATACTTTTGAACTAATTTACCTTAATCCGATAAATACTATTTCTTAATCATAATGAATGGTAAACATTGTTAAATCAAACCATATGCTTGAATGCTATTACGAGTTCACCTGACTCGGTAAACGGAACGGAAGCAATAACTCAATGACACGACAGGCTATTCTATTCCGTTTGTCCCCGGGCCGGGCTAACTAGGTCAAGAAGACTTGATAAGGCTTAGAGGGGTGTATTCTACAAGCAACCAGAAAATGCGAGTTGTCTAAGCACACACGATCAAAACGTCCTTGGGAGAGCCACAAAAATAACGTACTAAAATAATCCATCAACCAATGACAGTCAAGGATTTTCCGAGTGGGAAATGTGAGCAGTGGGTAAATTTAAGCGACTTATGCGCGAAAACATAAAAAAGTTCCAAAATTAGGCCCTTTTCCAAGTGAGTTCTTGGGATCTAACGTCGCCAACACTTATCTTTCTGATTAATCATTATTGTTGGGATTCGTTGAAGAGATAATAACTCGTAGTAAGTCTGACTGCTTTCAACTATTGTCATCATCATCGTTCATTCATTCATATCGAATTTTTTTTATCCCTTTTTTTTTCTTTTCTAACAGGCGGATTTAATTGATCGTGATTCAAAAGGTGTTAAACTTGGTTTAGGTGATTTTGTATTTTACAGTCTGTTGATTGGTCGTGCAACACTTGACGGTGATGCAGTCACTGTAGTGACATGTTATGTAGCTATATTAGTTGGAATGTGTATTACAGTGATAGTATTGGGTATTACACGGCAAGCATTACCAGCTTTACCAATATCTATCACATGTGGTATAATATTTTATTTTGTCAGTTCAGCGACAATATCACCATTTCTTGAAGCAACAGCAGCTGAACGTGTGTTCTTTTAAAAAATGACCCCGATTTATAAATGATTACTTCTTGTTATTGTAGTTGTTGTTGTGGACTTCATTTTCCTTTTTTTCTCTATATACAATCAATCATGTCATCGAATAATTCCAAAGCTTGCTTTGATATTTTGATCATTTTTTTTATTCAGTTTAATTTTTTATATCTGACATAATAATAATGATAATAAATTTTATTTTATAGTTAAAAGTTGTCTTCTTTAGAATGTCTATGCGAATTACATGCATTTTAAGATGCAAAATATACATTGAAAAGTTTTTGGGATGTATGGTTAGATTTACAGAATGGAGTTGTACTCCAACGCTTCCAAGGATCGATTATTAGTCGTTAAATCTTGAATGTAAATCTTATTTCATTTGTCGTACTTTTGTTGAATGGATATAAAGTATAGTCATCGGATAGTTTAATGCGTTGGGATATTGAAAACAATCTACAAGGATCCCCAGGTATAAAAGGCATAGTTATTTAAACTCATCATACGAAACTATTGTAATAAATATGATAGCTCAGCACAGTACACTTAGCGCAAATAAGTCATAGATGGGAAAAAGCTTCATTGGTTACTACTTTACATAATCGTAATTAACATACCTCAGAGACTGCACGTGATACGAGCAAACACTCGGGAAATTCTCACTGAGTTAAGAAAGGAATTTATAAGTACTTTGAGGTAAGAATTAAAATTTTACAACTCATGAATACTATCATTTTACATACTAGTTTGTTTCTGCTTTCACAGAGAAATTTAATTACCTTGTGATGAAGACATTTTTTCCCATAAGATTATATTTTTTTAAAAGTATTTGGATAACTTAATTTCAGCCGAAAACAAACAACCGTCACAAGATTCATCAAGGGAATATTTATGTGTATGATAATAATAATAATCATAGTAGTAATAATTGGTTAATTAATCATGACTAGAATAGATACAAGCAACAGTTAAGCTGTAAACAGTAGTTAAAAACTCTCGTGACCTATATATATATATATATATATATATATATATATATATATAACTAGTTGGGGAACTGAAAGCAAAAAACAATGTTGATGATTAGTTTGAGAAAAAGAATTTATGTGATATTGTTCACGTAATAGTTTTTGACTACAGTGTATTGATGATATTTTATTACTTATTTACGCCTGTAACCCCCAATAGAGCATAGGCCGCCCACTAGTTTTCTCCCGCTAACTCTGTCCTGGGCTTCCCTTTCTTGTTCTTTCCAGTTTTTGTTCATTCTCCTCATGTCTTTCTCTATTTCTCGGCGTAATGTGTTCTTTGGCCTTCCTCTTTTCCCTTTGCCTTGACGGTTCCAAGTGAGAGCTTGTCTTGTGACGCAGTTACGTGCTTTTCGTAGTGTATGTCCTATCCACTTCCACCGCTTCTTCCTGATTTCCTCCTCCACTGCAATCTGGTTTGTTCTATCTCAAAGTAGGTTGTTGCTGATGGTGTCTGATCAACGGATCTGAATTATTTTGCGTATACAACTGTTAATGAACACTTGTATCTTGTGGATGACAGCTTTGATAGTTTTTTACAAGTTTCCGCGTCATACAGTACAACTGACTTGACATTTGTATTGTAAATTCTGATCTTGGTATTGATTGATAGTTGTTTTGAGTCCCAGATGTTCCTAAATTGTAGTAATGCAGCTCTTGCTTTTCCGATTCGCGCCTTCACATCTGCATCAGATCCATTGTTTCAAATGTAATGGTGTAATGTGTTTACGTCATCCGAAAATGCAAGTGATTTATTAGTTTGATGATAATCTGATTTGATCAAATCGATATATAACCAGGTTGAATCAAGTTTTACTTTAATTTCAGGGACATCGTTTACCTTGGTTAAATTTTTGTGCTCACTTATATTCTATCTTGTTTATCTAGATAAACAAGTGAAAGGATTTAAAAGGTGACGACTAGAAGTAACTCGATAGAAATTTTTTGTAATAGAAGTAAAACCGAAATGTATTTTTACGAAGATATCTCATTTATGGTTCGAATAAATTTGCTTTGAAACCTACATTGTCTTGTCGAGGCCTACGAACGATCATTTGAAAAGTGGTTTTATTGACGCTGGTGTATTTAGTTACCGAAAGCCAACTGATGGATGTTATTTTGGTTAGCTGAGAATTGCCTAAGATCATTTTCTTGCTTAGGCGTATTAAGCAAATACATCATAACTTATTAATTTGGTGTTTGAAATACTTTTCGAACATATGAAATGTAATTCACTTCTCTATGGATCATACGTAGCGATTTATGGTTGAAAAAATAAGGAGTTTAGTATTCGAATGTTGACTATACTTTATTCATCTAAGCATTGTACCTGATGGGCTAGTCGAAGATGACATAATGGGTAGTTTAGCATTTGTTACTACTCTGTGACATTGAGATATCTCACTGTATATCAAAGTGTAATATTCATGTCAATTGAATACGTCACTGCTGAATCAAATGTTGTTAGAGTGAAAGGTATAATATTGTAAAATCATCAGATGAAAATCTTTGCACATGTACATTTCTAAAGTAGGAAGGTGATTCTGTCAATATGACTTAGTCACGTATCAAACATATCAATTCATTGTATATTGAGATGCATTATTCTAAGTTCAAATAAATTAAAAGGAAAGTTATTTAGTTATTAGGATGATCATATTATGCATTAGTCATCGCAGTCAATGATCAATAATCAAGGTTAGTTGTTGAACATTTACTTGACATGGCGGAAAATTGATCACAATAGAATAGATTTATGGAATTTTTTTGTAGGTTATCAACGTTTTAATGCTTATCATTTATTTCCACTTCCTAGTATGTTCAGCATTTTAATATACTTTTGATGAAATATCGCACGTTTGAGTTGTCATCAAATGGTTTTATTCAATTTAACAAATGAAATCAATTTGACTCACTGATTACCAATGATTAATATTCATCAAAGTAGGATGATATTTGTTTGAAGTTTTTTTTTGTATTGATAAACATACAAGATCATCTCTAATAAACATTTCACGAATTACTTTGTCCTTATCAATCTTATACGCACAGAAGAAAAAAAATACCTTAATAATCAATAAAATGATTACTACTGAAGTGAGTATATTGTTTGTAAAAAAATAAGTCAATTATTGCACTATGTAAAGATAATAAAAAAGAACGGTGAAACAATGAAGCTTTCCTGAAAAAGTTTGTTTAATATGGTAGCTGATCAGAATCAAAGTAGCTGTTTGTAGAATTTTTACTTTTGTGATGTTGAAGAATGGCAAGATTCTGTGTCAGTTAGTCGTGGAGATAAGAGAGGTATTAGGGGGTGTATGAAGGATTTGATTTCGACCAATTTGGTCTCGTGTGGTGTTACAGGTATGAGGGCGGTTGTCACTTCCCGGCTGCCCACACCATGGAAGGTTGATTCTTGAGGAACCTGAAAAGGAAGATAGATTAGTGTTGGTCTTAGAGACCTGGTTGCGTGACCGCAGAGCCCAAGGGACAACTGCTTGAGACCGGTCACTCACGACCTTTTTATGAAACGCTCTTTCAGTATTAGCTCCGCTCTTGAAAGCCCTTCGTGGGTAACCTTACCGACGGAGACGAGAATCCTTGAGGTAGGGTGAGGTGCGACATTTTTATGGTCGACCTTTTCTAACCCTTCCTTCCTTGTGAGAAGGCAGCATCGCTTTAGATGCTGGTTGTCCGAGGGGAACACCTTACTGCTGTCACACTCCACTGCAGTCAGCAGTACGACTTCGCCCTCAGACCTTGAGTAGCTGCTTTTAGTCTGATCGTTCTCCAATCGACCTGCCTGTCATGGTAGAACGTTGATGAACATATGTTCCATCCAATGTAGCTCGGTTGGGTGATCACTATAGGAAAGTCTGACCACTACGTCAAGGTAGCAGCTTCGGTCGGGAGATTTTGTGTATGAATTATTCATTGATTAAAAGAATTTTTATGTTGTACTCACGTCATCAGAGATTTGACTAGACTCTTAAACGGAATTACCTGGTTATAAGTCTAGTTTGTTACATTGTTAAAATTTCCTTCCCTAATATGAAATTTTCTACATAATTCAAGATATTTTGATTTTTGTTAATGTAGTGTATACTAATATGTCGAGCCCACATGGCTTAGTCCCAGCCTTTAAACAAATTAATTAACCTATTCTTCTCTAGTTATTCACACGTCTTTCAACCATGTCAGTTATTTGCTTATGTCTTGGCTATTTTAACTTGGGTGAGTATGTGCACTGAGTATTTCGTTGGTCTCATATTTGGCTTATTTTCGTCTGACTGTAAGTACTTACTCGTGCCTTATTTGTATTGAGTTAGCTCACTTGCTTTCTCTGCTTCACTTCGCACTTTTCATAAGCCCCTTGTATTCTCATGTCTGCCTGCCTGAACAATTGCATGAAATATACTCATCCAAATGAATCCATATTTAACCTCTTATTACTGCCGTTGCACACACAGGATTCGCCTAAACATAATACAAGGAAATCAAAGGGAAGATTTATTTCATAGCATATATAATCGTTCACACAAATTGAAGTCAGATTGTGGGCCACTAAATTAACATGACTATGATTGATCATTGAAAATTTACATCGATTTTCAGCTTCATAGAATCAAATGAAAAATCGCTATACATGAGGTCAGGACTTTTGAACCCTAAGATCCCATGGAATTATTCTTACTAATCAAACAGAACATTTATAACAGGGATATCAGTTTTCATTAATCATTGCTAATAATCTGAACCATCTTTTTATTGATACACATTGACATCATCAATCATTCATTGTAAGACCAGTATCAGAAACCTGGAAGCACTGGACTCGTCAGCAGTGCGCATCCACGACTCCTATACCTCACAGGACTCGAAACCGGGACCTTCGGTCTTGCACGCGAAAGTCTAACCTCTGGACCGCTGGGCCGGCCAGGATCAGACGGTGTTAATGTCTAACTCTGATTGATCTAGG